TATATTATGTAATAAACATCTTAGCAATTTGTGGAAAAATGAATGTATTTATTTTAGAAATGTTCGAAGGTCTTTGAAATAAATGGAAAATAATTTCGTCATAACAATAATATATCGAAGCTACAATTTTCAAAATATTTTTACATATCTATTTTTAAATGCTATTTAATTATTATATTTTATAATGTTTTATAATTAATTATCATTTCTAACATTAACATATTTCTTTTTTATATTTAAAATATATTTCCGTATAGTTTGCATTTTGAAAGACTGCTGTCGGAATAATTCGTAACGACACTTTCGCATACTTTTCCATCTCATATTTATTTAATAACTAATAAATAAAAGGTAAAGAAGCACGCCTTAAATATTAACAAAATAAACTGAAAATACCGAATTGCATCGTAAAGTAATAAAATGAGTTATTATTAAAGATAATAACACATTATGCGCATAAATGAATAAATTTATCGAAATATAAAACTCGTAAGAAAAACCGTGAAATTATTTTCTTATTTTATGAAGCTATTTTCAGCATAATTAAGAATGTAGCCATTTTAAAGTTTGTTACCAAAAAGTTTTTAAAGGGTAGACAGGATCATTTAAAAGAGGATATAGTTTTTTAATTAAACTTTATATAAAGCCCTCTTTTGGTAACTCGAGTAGCTCGATCATCTTAAGCGAAATATGTACAAGAAAAGGATAAATTGAAAATAAAAAATGTTCTTTACAAAGTATTAAGCGGTTAGCCATTTACAATGATTGAGTCAGTGTCTGTAGCCGGTTGGAAGTAAATTCCGCTAATTAGGCTTCTTTGCTGAAGTAATTAGCGCAAGGCTAATACCCAGCCAAGTTAATACGGCCATTAGTCGCCAACTGCTTTTTTTCTGACACTTTTGCCTTGCCTATTTATAAATCCGAACGAAATGAAGGCCACGAGTCGTAGGTAAGTTGAAACGGAATATGTCCAAATCGACGACATCGAGTCTTCGTACCATGTATACAAAGTACATGTCTATGTACGTTGGAGTCGTAGCATCGAACAAAAGTCGCGCAGAAGACACAAGTCCTAGAGCTCGGCACAACATAACGTCTGTACTGTATATAAATGTTCAGAATTTTCTGCGACTCGTGGGGGGTGGGGGGTAAAGGGGTTCGTAGAAAACTTGCGGAACGCTGCTCGTATAAGCGCTTCGCCTTTGCTTACAGGACTTCTTTTAGCGCGAGAATGTAAAGGGAACAGATAGACGAGGCAGTTTTTCCAACTTGGAGCATCCAGTTTACATGAACCAACTATGTTCCATCCCACCCACCCTCGCTCATTCGCTCACTCGCTCGCTCTCTCTCTCTCTCTCTCTCTCTCTCTCTCTCTCTCTCTCTCTCTCTCTCTTTCTTCTGACAACTCGCTCTTTCAGTGTTTTGTCCTGTCGGCTACCGTTTTCGTTCTTGTCTTTGTCTTCTTTCTCTCCCATCGTTTGTTACCTTATTGTTTCTGAAGAGTTCGCTCAACTCTTTACATTCGTTCACGTACGTTGAGATGAAATAAATACGAGCTTTGTCTTCTGTGTATGCATAGATGTAACATGTACCATGCGAGGTTTGCGGAAGTATCTTATGAGAAAACAACACCGCGACAATAAAAATAAGCACTTGCGGAACGTAAACTAAGAGAATGATAAACACATACTTATGTTTACTAAAAAATGTAAACAAATTTTTAATGTTGTTAAAATATTTTTATTAGTTCCTTATCGATTACTAACAAATATGCAGTTAATGAATATTGCCTACATAGTATCAACAGGTATGCTACAAACATAACAAGGGATTATGTAGTTTTACGTACTTTACTAAATGACAATAAATAAAAAAAACGAATTAAATACTGCATGAATTTTTTATCTTCAATTCGGATCAACGAAAATTCTTAATTAAAACAATTATAATTTTAATTGGACAAATAATTATACTAAAATTGATATAAATTTACCATTTGTATTTGTGTATACCATTATAATTTGTGTAAATTTACCATCTCATTACTCTCCCCGCTACTTTATTTATGAAAATTGAAATATAAATAAAATTAACTACCTAATGGTAAGCATATAAAGTCTAAAACTAATTGTCGAGTTTAAAAATAGTTATTTTTAAATTTTCATTTGGACGGTTTATTAGCAATGTAATGAAAGGCATATCCCGTCATAAAATTCGGAAAGTTTATTCTGATTGTTCATTTTAGTCAACTCTCCTACAATATTATTATTTCAAGTAGAAAAATAGTCGTATAGCATTTAATATTCAAAATACGCATTGTGTGATGTGATAAATCACTCGACTTGAAACAGATATTCTACTCAATCGCATTTAGCGAGTAATCGTTCAAACATGACTATCAATTAAAGATTTTGAAAAATAATGACAGTTCTCGATACTTTATCATCATTGTTTTGACATACTTTAGCTATTAATTATTATCCAAATTATAGTAGAATTGGCAAAAACAAAAAATTCTGTACGCTTTGAAAATTCATTGTCAATAGTTTTTAGCGTAAGTTTAAAAAAAAAAAAATCATTTATGTTTATCGTATTGAAGATTTTAAGCGCGACTCTTAATATATTCCCTCAAATTATTTATAATTCCTCGGCAGCTTCGAATATTTTCACGAATTTTTAAACAATTATCGGCTACGAGACATCCATTGGATAGTTCAAAGTTATTCTATGAATATATGAAGAAATGCAGAAAATCAGTGTTATCGAGAATGTCTATGTCAGAACATTAAAATAAGAAGCGTTCGTTTACTTGTTGAAATACTTGAAGTGTTCGTCTTTTGCCCATGAAAACCGCGAAGCAACTTTATGGTCTCTCTGCATGGTCCGTGCCCAGCATGTTACCTGACTTGCCCATTTGAAAGAAAGCTGTTCTCTGCAGAATAACCACACTTTCGGAGAGCTTCTAGCGGAGATATAAAATAGTAGTTTTATAATATAGGTCAGACATTTATCCCTCTGACATCAAGAGCGAATCATCGATACTTACGTCTGAAATGTTTATCGCTACTTCTCAAGAAAATAATATTGTTATTATATACCCAGCATTCGCGTTATTTAAAATTCTACTGGCTCTTTCATTTTAAGACAAATAGTGTGAAATAAATAAAAATGAAATATACACGTGCACAAACATAGCCACGCGCAACTTAATATAAAGAATCGTTCAGATAGGGAACCAAGACTATTGTTAATTCTCATCAATTCTAATTGCTTAATGGAAAATAGGCTATATGCATCGATTATAAATTAACCTACGTATACGCTCATCCAGCAGACTCTTCAATATATCACAACACTTATCAATCGGTTAATTTATCAATATAATAGGTATTGAAGATGACATAATATCACATTATATTCTATTAGATTCTGCAACATATGATGACACAGTATAGCTTGAATTTACAACTTTTCCCACTTACAATGTAAAGAAAATTAGATTTCAGCTTTCCCATGGCAAAGCCTCAAAACTGTCGTAACAACGTTATATTTAATATATGTAGAAGATTCAAAATATCACAGCAAAGTATTTGACATGCCATTAGATTATAATGTTCGATTACCAAGTTGGATATGAGACTAACCGAAGCCTCGACAGACATCAGCTGCGAAGTAATAGAAAATAATGAAATATGTCATACAAGTCCTTTTATTGTTAATAAAATTGTTATAAGTCCTTATATACATCGTAAGTTATCGCATAACGATAATAAAATTCATTACATTAGGATTAATGTTTTTTTTTTTATTTTTTTTTTTTATAAATTATCATAAAATAAATATAGGATAATATCATACGATTTTTTTTTATCAATAATATTTATTATGAATTCATCGTATTTATATATTATAAATTAAATATTTTATTCGTACGATTTGTTTGTAAAATTTTACTCGTCAAATTTTAACAAATAATCGCCAGCTATAATTCGTTGTCAATTATTTAATTTTTCAATGTGATTTTTTTTTTTTTTTTTTTTTTTTTTTTTTTAATATAAATTTATACTTTAATTTACAATGGGTTTGTCTTATTACGTTGAGCATAATTATTTATATTTATAGTCTATAAGAATTCTAATTTTTAAAGTAAATATTCGGTGCAAGATAATTTTATATTCTGACTATTAAATGGATTATCTTCTGAATAAAATCTCATTTCTTATTCAAATAAAAAAGTTATAAGAGAAAATCCCTTTAAAAATTATAGATTCGTACATAGAGAAGTTATTTTATTATAGTAAGTAGATTTACATGTATAAACATGGATGTTTTAAGTTACTTGAAATAACTTTTTATATGAATATAAATTATCGATTAAAAATAAATTATGAATTTTTGTACTAATTAGATATTAACGTTGAGCTCCTATTTGTAATTTCAAAGTAAAGAAGTTCCTATTTGTGCCTCGTAATTTTCAGTTTAACTCCTTCTCTACAATTTGCATTCACTTTATTATTAAATTTCTTATTCCAAGGTATTATAGTAATTAAATAAAAAAAGTCAAACATCTTTTACAATTATGAAAATATAGGGGTGCCATTTTTAAATCTATCAACAGAAAAGCCGTAAAATGTAATAAAGTTAAGTATGAAATGAAACAACTACTTGAGAAATTTATGTATCGAAAAGAAATGATGTCGTATGAAATTTATCCAATATAAGATGTGTATTCTACTTTAGTAGAATTTTAAGCACTTTGATTTTAATCTACATTCAAAGCCATTAATAATAAATTTTACGTGCTCATAAAGACAACAAATTCAAAAAGTATAATATTAATATAAATGCCAATGTTAGGAACTAATAATCAAATAATATTTAAAATAGCGGGATATATTTTTCGATAATATGATTCTAAATAAGAATGATAATTCACCCACGCTTCTCGAATTTTCCATCATAACATTGTTTTCTGTCTACATTCTGTTTACTTCTACTAGGTGCAAGATGTTTAAAGAACGTCAGGTTAGAAGTAATTCCTGAAGCGGTAGAACATGGACACGAAGCAACTCTGCGATGTTACTATGAGCTGGAGCAAGCGCCCCTTTACTCTCTTAAGTGGTATCGTGGAAGTTTCGAATTCTACAGATTTTCGCCGAGTGAAAATCCCGCTACAAAAATCTTCAACTTCTCGTGGATCGAAGTCGATGTGAGTATGGAAATGATAATCCACGATATTATTCGCAGTGAATTCATTAATAAAATAATTATTAGCTTCCGCTGAATTTTCACTTTATTTAACGATACTAGTGAAAGTTCGTTAATAAGTGCACGAAATGCGCGTGCGATTAGAACATGCGGAACAATAAAATGATTTAACTACAATTGAAATTAATAGTAAATAAATGCGTGGGACGGGCTGATTAAAGACTACTGGATATAAAATATAAATTTTATTTAGTATTCTCAGCAGTACTGCTTCGTTTTATCATGATCAAATAGGGAGAAAAAAAATTCCTTTTCTATACGTACGGCAATATTTTTAAAGGAACTTTTACGGCTAATATTGGATTCGATGAAAATTGAAGCTTAAATTAATCTCAGATTTATCACGAAAGTTATATAAAGTAATAAAAAATTAAAATATGAAAATGAAAAATTTTCTTTACAATATATTTGATCATTTTTCTCGTGTTTTCTAATTCATGCATGGCACAGTAACAGTGCTACTACTGTCTATTTATGATTAGCAAGACAAATGTAGGGTCGAGCAATAACCGCAGGTTTATTGAAGATATGTTTGTCATGTTATTTCATGACGTTGTATAAGCGATGTGCAAATGAATGTCGAGTTTATCGTCAACTCCACGCTCTGCTGCTACAGAATGATAAACACCCCTAACATATGTACTTAACTTTTTCAAATCACTTAGAGGGAACATCAATAAATCTAAGCACGTGGGCACTTTTTCAATCCATTTTATTACAAAAACTTTTTAACCATAAATTTTAATGCCCAATTATTAATTAGATGTCGGTTTGAAAAGTATTATTAGCGTGTATTTCTTTAATAATTTCTAATGAAATTGCCCTGTATATAGTGTTAATGATATTTCGTGCAATAAATGTTAGTGCAAGGCTTCATTCGTTAAGACATACATACTATTTCTATTAAATCATGGTCATTAAAAAACATTATCTTTAATAACAATCGAATGCTCTGATTTCTATTTATATTACGAATAAAGGATAAACAAATTTTTTTACTCCAATAAATGAAAAAATTGATTAATTAAAGAATATATAACATTATGATATTATCATTTTTCAGTCAAATATTACATTTATTGATAAACATTAATTATATTCTAATCTTAATTACCATCTAATTTGAGCTAAATACGATACGTAATATGATGCATGTTAATATGAAATTAGATATACAATTTAACTGTAGATAATACGATACTCTAAATTATTAGTGATATGCCGTACAAAAGTTAACCTTAATAACATAATATAGATTCACTTATCTTATTGGGTTACATATGTGCTTATTATTTAGGTTTATTTTATTTTCTTTTTTGTTTTTTTTTTTTTATTCAATCATATTTAGATCTTCATTTAAATTAAGCATAAATAGTAGATAGGATAAATAGTTCATCAGAAAAAAATTGTAAACATAACAACATTTTCAATTTTACGATCTAATCTCAAAGATTAAATGCATTCTAATATATTTTCAATAATTTTCAAAATTTTAAATTTCAAATATTTTAAAATTTATTTCAAAACCTGTATTTAATTTCGTATATAAGCTATAACGTGGGTGATTATAAATATAATGTAAGAAAAATATTTAAAAAGAAATTAATCCCTGTCGTTTTTAACTACAAATGCAATTTTTTATGATATATTGTCAAAAAAAAAAAAAAAAAATTATGATAAATTATATTAAAATTTTAGAAAATTAATCAAAGTAATTAATTATCATTGTTAGTATTCAATGTATGCAAAGTCCCATAAAACAAAACTATACTGGTCTATTAATGGAATTTATTACGAATTTATGACTATAAAATGCATTGAAAAAAGCTTAAAACTAATATAATAAGTTTTTTAAACGAAATTTCTATTCCCATGGAAAATTAAATGAATATCTTCTTATGCGTATGATGTAAAAAAATTCTTTGAAATTATGACCTTGATTCACAGCTAATACTTAATTATTTATATATTTTCATTCAGCCAAGTAATTCAAATGAGAGTCAAGTGACGATACAAAATGTGGATTTTCCGCTAAGTGGAAATTTTAGTTGCGAAGTGACTACAGATGCGCCAACTTTTTTAACGGCAAGCAGTTCAAAAACACTTACTGTTGTTTGTAAGTACACAAGATTTATCTTACACTATTATCGTTTCTTTCCTTAAACAAATGTCGTTAAACATTCGTTAAATAGGCTTTAAATTAAATGAATGTCAGAATAGATTTGAAAGAAAAAAAAGAAACGAAAAATGTATATGTCGGCATACAAACGAATATGTGTATTTGTTTATGATTGATTTTAATTAATTTCTGAATAATGTTTGATTATTTTTTCTTTGTATCAAGTATCCGACGATAAAATAGCAAGCATGTATTTCTTAAAACGAGCGTAATATAAATTTCATATTTGAAACTAATAGAAAACAATCCACGAATAAACAAGACTGTGCAGGCTTCCTTGCGCTATTCGAATAATATCAGACAGAACAGACAGAATCTTTTCTCAAGGTATCTATCTATCTTTTCCAATAAAATTCGCTTCAGAGTTTTCTTAAGATACCATATAAAAACAGACATCTGCAATGATTTAAATCTTAAACCGTACAAAGATAAAAAATTGTTTATTCCACATACTCGTCTTTATTCGTAAGTATTAATTAAAGTAAATGCGCAATCCTCGTGCTTTCTCGTATGCTATAATATTACATTGTTTTAATATGAGCATTCTAAATCACATAATTTGTTATACATTTATGATTAAAGAACATTGATTATGATATGATTTGAATGACATATATCACGAAAAATTACGACTTTCGATAAAATTCTTCTAAAATCAGATCAATTTGAATCCAGACACGTATATTTATGCTCGCGGAATATGAAGTCAAAAAGCAATGAGGCAAAGATTTGCAGTATCCCATTTACTACCGTCTGCCCATATTCCTCAATTTCACTTTCATTTTTTCCATGACCCTCACTTTCGCCAAGTCCTCGATTAAATCACCTCAGCGTGAAAATTGGATAAGGTCTCACGGCAAACTGGAAAATGATGTGATTATGCCTACGAAGCGCAAACGTCATGCTTGAAGTCCGGATGGTTTCAAGGGTACTTCACCCCTCGAATTATTATGTTTCAGCTGTACCCAAGAGTAAGCCTGTTATCATATCGGAGCGTGGACGCTATGAGCCTGGGGAGACTCTAAAAGCAAATTGTAGCACGCCATCTTCGAAACCACCGGCTCGACTCTCTTTCACGCTAAACGACGTGCAGGTTAGTACAAACATTCACACAGCATTTACTCATTTCTCAGTTGAAAAATCTTATTTACTTATTGCTTACAACGTTATCATTTATTACATTTACGCCCTATCGCCGACTTTCTATGCCTCCCCCTCCCCTCCTAAAAACATTCTATCTATTTGGTAGTGTCAGTTGTTTTTATTCATATGTAGACTCTTCATCATATCTTGAATTTCCAATAATTTTGTCCATAAATGATTAAATATTGACGGTCCGATCTAGCCCGACAAGTCGTATCTAGTCATATTATGGATTATTTGTCATTCAAATTTCTTATAATAGTTTGAATTTTGTATTTAGAATAATCGACGAGCCTTGTCATTCTTATTTAAGTCTTATCATTTAAAAACAATTACTGAATAGCAAACAATTTTCATCTATGACCCATGAACTTGTGTCTACAATTCGTAATGAATATTTTGCATAATAAATTTGTCTGCGATATTCCAACAGTTTTTTCAAATGATGCTTCATTAAATTGTGCATCATAAACTTCCATCCATATCTACATTCGTAGAATAGATTCAGCCAATATCGGGATCTCGTTGCCCAAAGCTGTCAAATAGAAATAACGTAACGTAGTCTTGTCGATACATAGAGAGGATCGGCAGAAAGATTTTGATCAAACCTTGTTTGGCAATCTCGTTCTAATCCGCAATGGAAATGAACGCTATTAGCTTCAGCGCTGAGCTAGAAACAACAGTGGCGATATAAGGGCTTTAGTGTAAATATCCGAGACCATGACACGTGAGTGTAGTAGTGAGTAAATGAATGGATAAGCATAATACAGGGCGGGATGCTTTGCCCGTATATTGGGGAATAACATCCCTGTCTTGCTACTGAGGAGAAGCACTGTTTACCCTTAACGAGCGAAAAATAAGGCAAATATGAATTACAAGTTGTCGATAGATGCTGCCGGGCTGCTAATTTCACATTTATATCCATCTAAGTTCGGAATTTCTTTTTGAGTGAGGAATATTTGCCGGAAAGTCTCTTGTTTTTCTTGCTCCGACGTACCCCCCCCCGCCCCTGTATAATGTGCGCGTCAACGTGTGTGTGCGTGTGTGTGTGTGCGTGTGTATGTGTGTGTGTGCGCATGCGTGTGTGTGTATGTGTGCGTATGTATTTTTCTGTATATTATATATATATATATATATATAAACATATATGTACACAGTGGTTATTGAAACATATGTAGTTTATTTGAAGGTTTCTTCGATTTATGAACAATGTTTGAACTAGCCCCTTCAAAAAATGGAAAAAGTATATAAATCGACTGCTGTGGATTATTACGCAGTGGGTGTAATTGAATGTGTGTATTTGACAAGGGAAAACAAAGTTTAAAATAAATATTTTATAAATGATGGAGCAATGCTTTTATATACACTTTGCTGATTACACTTTTGTTACATATAAAGGGATTATTTATTTGAAATTATATTTAAAATGATGCGATATAAATTATTCATTGTTATCGAATTTGATGTACTCGTAAACGGCGAATGATAATTTTTTGCGCAGCTTGAAGACAATATTTAATCAATGCATCACACAAACGTTATTTATATTCATTTAACGCTATAAACTAAAAGCGTTTTTAATATTTATTAGATTTTGAATGAAAATTTTAATACCGATTTATCAATTATAACAATTTCATCCATATGTATGAGAATATTATCTCTGTATGTTTATGCATATGCACGTACGTAAGTAACTATAATTTTGTAATATAAAAAAAAAAAAAAAAATATGTCCATTATCAAATCGTATACACACTCAAGAAATGTAATTATGGGTAAAAGATTAATATCGATAGTAATGTCGCATTATTTCCAAAAGGGCAAAAAAGTGAAATAAATATTTTAATGTAAAGAACCGAGAGAGTTTCGTAATAAAAGTATTATTCCGAGATCGTTGATTTTCGCATGGAAATCGAGAGTGTGAGTGAGCAGCCCGAGGTTTGCCGGTGAGGATGGGTAGTGATGGGAGGGCGGAAGAGGAAATAATATGACGAAATGAATTTTTACTAATTGATAACGAACGAATGGAAAAGCTAAGGCAAAATATCCGACATTCCGTAAACAGCACCTCGCATGCACTAATAATGAAATCAAATGAAAATTAACCATACGCATGGACGGGAAAAATTCTTTTATGAAATTTTTTGTAATACCTTTCAGGAGGAATCGCGACATTGCCATGATATAGAGAAACAGACACGTAGAAGCGTAATTAGTCTCGTGAGCACGTTAATGGCGGGGGCGTACGGACCTATAACGACTTTGCGTACGATGTTTTACGAGAGGAAACTGCGTATAGTAGCGATAGACCATATAAATCTGGTTAGCATGAAGATAGCCACAACGTGTTTTACAGTTACATTGAGTAAGATAAGAAATGTTTTTTGTGTGCCAGTGTGAGTGTCTCGTTAGGTATAGAATAGTATGTATTTAAGAATATTTATACGTCACGAGCTGCTTTCTTGTGAAGCACAAACGTATTTAATATATTATACTTAATACACTGGTTGTTATTTTACTGAATGTATTGGAAATATTCGTAAATACATTTCACTAATGGGAACAACGTTGTTTCAATAGCTTATGAATATTCGTAAGGACAATGAAGTTAGTTTGCTTTATTGTTTACAGTGGGTAAGACATTTATAAGTAGTATAAAAGCACATGCCAAATAAGTAAAAATTCCTCCGCTATTATTGCAATGGATATTTAGGCTCTGTTTAATAAACTCGTAAAATATACCTTTGTAAGGGCAGAAAAAGGCACTCTAGCTTTCAAGCCAAAACATCCAACCGCCAAATAGGCGTTTTATTTTATTATTTTTATTTTTATTTTTCGTATTTCTATGTCAGCATGCATCAAAAGGTTATGTGTTCTCCGCAACTGCTTTATAAGATTTCGCTAGAAATCAAGTTAGCTACACGTTGAATTTACGATAGACGGAGCGCGCACGCTTGTGCGTGTATGTGTATTACCTTGGGCGCCATCGAATACGCTCACATATATGTTCACTCAACGTATACAAGTTCCTGTAAAGTATGAAAATTAGTAAGATGCGTATACACTGACTGTAGTGGTACGTGCACCTCAATTTTTTTTAACCACTACAATTAATTGCTTTTGTCGTAAAAGCATTAAGTGACGTTTTAACGTTATTTGCTGCAGGCCGGACGGGTCGATTTAATTGTATCTTGCGTTAATAACTTATTTTTCGAAAAATAAAATTAATTTAATATAATCGATTCGCCATGCAATTTAATAATGCATACGACTCTCAAAGGTATTTTATGTTTTTTGTTTTTTTTTTTTAATTCAGTATGCATTAAAGCTTCTTCTTCGCCTTGTAAAGCATTTAGTATACCTTTATCGATTGTAAATAAACAATTATATTTATAAAACATGCTTATAAATTAAATATTTGTGTGTGTTTTCGTGTGTATGTGTGTGACTGTATGGGATTAGAATTCAAGTAAAATTCAATTACACAGTTGTTTTACAAAACTTTCTTTGCAGGTAGAAAATTACAATAGCATCTGCTAAGCTTAAAATGCTTAAGATGTTATAACTTTGAATAAGTCAATATTAGATTATTATCATGAGTTCGAAATAATTTGGTAAACTATTTTTAAATTTCAGTACGTTTTCCATTTCAATTAACTATAAAACTATTGCTTTACAACAATGACGGTAGCACTCAATTTCTAGTTTTAAATCCAATTAACTGAAATTTATGATTAATTTGTTTGCAATAGTTGATCTTCATTAAACAGGCAATTTTAAGGTTACAACAAAATAAAATAAAGTTATCCATATTTCATCACACCTGCCAACCCCTTGTATTTTATTCTATCTACTCTACAAAATAAATATTATTATTACGCAATATTATTAATCAATGTCTAGGTACATGAAATTTTTAATTACATCATGTGCCGACTCTCAAACACCTAGCCCATCAAATTGAACTGTATGAAAAAAGTATTGTACTAGTGGGAGATTTTAAAAGAAAGTTTCTTATTCTCTGTAATATAATCGTATATATTCAATCGAGCTAAAATTTATTAAAAATTTAATAATTTCTGTAAGTACTGAAAATGCTAATATATAACAGTTTTCTTAAGCTCCAATCTCTTCCTTTAACTAAATCTCATGTATGACGATAGGAAGCAAAAAATTAGATGGGACACAGCTGCACTGTGAGAAGAGTGTAAAAACCTTATTGGCTCGTAACCGCTGCATAGCTCAAGTAGAAAAAAATTATAACGCCTCACTCACCTCTTCTTCCATAAGAAATATAATGATATTATATCCTAACTCTATGAATGCAGCCATTTATTTTCAAAAACTATAATTAATATACTATTATTATTATAAGCCAGAGCATTGAAAAACATAAATTAATGCAAAGGATTATAGTCGATCGAACTTCAGACTACAATTGCTCAAAAATTAATTGTGCATTCAGCGATAATACAATACCCTTAAATATATACTAGATTTAATTTATATTATTTACGTTCGCCATCGCCATCGAATTTTTATGTCGAATTTTTAACATACAAAAATTCAAAAGTATACGTTTTCGACGAAACGAGAATCCTGTAAAGGGATTAGTTGTGAAATGTACTTCCTGTACGAAGTATCCGAAATACACAGGAAGTGGCCGTTTGCAAATATATTTTAAAGAAAATAGAACATTTCAATTACGCGTGCGGCATATAATATATCAAATAAATATATAAAATATATGTATTATTAAATTAGAACATTGTGAATGGGACATTGTTTTCATAGTTAGTGGATGTGTATAATGAAATGCATCGGCTTTTGAAGGATCCATATAATCCAATGCAGATTAAAGCTACAGCTATCTCATGCCTGCAGGTGCGGCATAATATAGAAATTGAAGTAGCGAAACAACATAAAAGAAAATGACTCGAAAAAAGG